TTCTTTTTTACGCTATCAAATTTATAATTTTTTAAGTTTATAATTTTTTAATAATATAATTGAGTTGAGGAAACAAGATGAAGAAATTAAAAAAAAAAATAAATTATAATATTTTAAAATATTAAAATTTGATTGGTTAAAAGTTTTTTTTCCTTATTTTTTATTTATTCTTGTTAACTCAAATATACAGTAAGTAAGTTATCTTTTCAAATTTTTTTAAAGAATTTATCTAAAAATTTATATTTTAATTAATATTTCAAAAACTAACTGTTAAATTGATAGTTTTATTCATGTACATTATGTATTTTAATTTTTATATCAATTAAACATTTATAACATTTTGATAAAAAAAATTTTATTCACTAATATATATTTAATGATATTAAATTTCTTATGATAAATGAAATAATTAAGTCTATTAAAATAATTTAAAAATTAATATACATAATGTATATGAATAAAACTTTTAATTTAATAATTTATTTTTAAAAATATTAATTAAAAAATAAATTTTTAGACATATCTTCTGAAAAATTTAAGAAAACAATTTACAAAACACTTTAAAAAAAATTATTTATAATATTTAAAAATATCTATTTATAAGTTAAATTTTAATTTATTAAATAATAAATATTAATTATTTTATAAATATTAATTATTTTTAGTAATTAAATTAAATTAAAAATTTGACAATTTTAATAACCCTAAAAAGGATAAAAATGGCGACAAACCATGGCTTTCCTCCAGTAGGAGGTTAGGGGCAAATTTAGTAAGTGGGACACATAATGCGAGAGTACGGGAATAAGGCGCCCAGGGCCATACTAATCGCCAGGAAAGTTTTAAAGCCACACAAGATAGGATATTGATATAGAAATAAATTTTTTATATTATTTTTATACATAATTTATATATATTATTAACTAAGTAAATATATTTAATATTATATATTTCAAATAAAAAATTAATAATTATAAATAAAAATAACTGATATTTTTATTTAATAATTTAAAATTAATTTATGAATTAATCCTTTCAAACGCTTTAATAGTTATGAACCAAAAAAATCAAACAAGTTAAACAAATTTACAATATTTTTTTGTGACCATAATCTTTGTGTGGCCATAAGGTCGCCCTGCTCCACGTCGCCAACATGTCCACCAACGGTTGGTGCGGTCTCCCTGACAACAAAGGACATGCTCTCTCTTTATTCACAATTTTTAATGAATAATAATAAATGTAATTAAAATTTGATATCAAAATCTAAAAATAAAAATGTAATATAAATTATGTCATTTAATATATTAAAATTAAATTTTATACAATTTATTAATTTATTTTTTAAAATTTATAATATTATATAAATAAATTAATTAAATAAAATAACTTATATTACATCATTATTTTTAAAATTTTAGCTTAAAATTTTTTTACTCCCTATCATTACTCTTTAGTAATACTATTATATATGCATTATTGTATTGGGAAAGCGGCCAACTCATCGACGTCCCTGGTCGGTTGGCCTCAGTTAACGATGTTCCGACAATTCCCATTGAAAGAAAAGAACCGGTGGTTGAGAGCCGGAGGTGGCGATGTCCCGAGTTGCTTGGAAAGAGGATGCACATCATGTGGGATTAAAATTGATCAATCGTGATCGTTCAATTCAAAGAAGCTTTGCTAGTACCATCTAATCTCTGCCACCTATATGTAGGTCCCCTTGATAATGATCAAGATTAATTAATTATCATGCAACAAAATGATAACGCAAAACATGCAAATTAACCCCCCAACTTTTTGAGTGGTGGCAAATGACCCCTTTAACTGAATTCACGAGCTAACTCACCCTTATACTTATTGTCAATGGCAAAAAAGCCCTTCTCTAACGGATTACGTCAACAATCCATTTAAAAGTAACGATGGATTGCATTTGGTGGGACCCACAGATGATATAGCAAAGAGTTGGACTAATTTTGACATGCTAGATGTTAGGTGGTTATTATTTGATGACATGGCGGTGATTTCTTTGTTTTTTCATTTTTTTTCTTTCAAAATTTACTTTCTTTTTTCTTCTCTCTCCCATCCCATTCCCATTCTCTCTATTTTTTCTCCCTAGGACCTCTCCAAACTACCAGATCTAGGATGGGTTAAGTTCAAAGAGAAGGGTCTCAATTCTCCAAAGGCCAAGGCCTTTGTGGCGACGGAACCAGCTAGATCCCTTGCCTCCAAGTTACAACCATGTGAAGGTGTCTTGGAGGCAGTCACAGGACTTGGAAGTCCAATTTTTTATTTTTCAAATAGAGGGTTGGAAAAAGTGAGTTCTTGTGGTTTTGTTTATTATTTTTGAGAGTTTTCCATAGACAACAGTGAAACAAAAAAAAAAAAAAATCATCTTAACATATCCAATGAGAGTTCTGATAATGGGTAAAAATCAAAAATGGAAAAACAAGGTTTATGTTTTTACTACTTCTATAATTTAATCGACAAATCAATATAGTTATATTGTTTTAAAATTTAACTTGATTTTTTGTGTCTGAATTTTTTAGGTGAATTGGTTTTGTCTTCTAATTGTTGATAAAATTTTGGATTTGGCTAAAGGAGTACGTGGGATGAGATAAAATGTAGAACAAAAGATAAGTCTTGGAATAATTTTTGAACAATGAGAAACGAAACTTGGTACTATCAATCTAAAAAGCAACAGACCAACAAATCAAAGGAAGAATTAATTAGAATCAAGCCTATACTAAATGGTTTGTAAGGATGGTGATGCAGATGATGCTGGTTTCAACTCAAGGTACATAAATTTCATATTCTTTACTGGTTTGGAGAGATTAGTAATTGATTTTGTTGATAAATGCTCTCATTTGCACTAGTTGAAGATTTGTGTCAAATTTTTGGGTTTTGATGAGTTAGGGATTGGATTTTTTTTTTTTGGTTATGCCCACTAAGTGTTTGATGAATTGCCTAAGTAGGAATGTGTTAGATTTAGGTACATAGATGATTTTATATCTCTAAATAAAGATGTAATGTGTTGAGATACCTTTTAACCTTTTAAATAAAATGCTTTCATTTGTTGATAAAAAAAGTGTTGATTTCTTCCTTAAATATCATTTGGTTGGTTTGGGCATCAAATCAATACTAAGTCTAGTTTGGTTTCAGTCTTATTATTGACCCTTGTTCCCTTAGTGAGTAATTTATGTTTGAAAATTAAGAATTTGTAGAAAAGATGGCAGGTGAGGAACGAAGGGCATGTTTTGTCAATTTAAAGGATTTTGAAGGTTAATTTATGAATCTCATAATTATTGTTCTTTTATTTTAAATTTAATGAGGTGGAGTGACATGTCGACAAAAAATTTGAACTCACTAGTGGAGCCCAGACAAATCAACCCATCGTTAGTTCTGGACGGACTGTTGACCCAATCCGTTAGAGAAGGACTTTTTTGCTACTAACAATAAGTTTGAGGGTGAGTTTGCACGTGAATTCAGTTAAGGGGGTAATCTGCTACCACTTAGAAAATTGAGCGGTTAATCTGCATGTTTTGTCAAATGATAACACAAAAGTTTATTATTATTTTTTTCCATACTCTCTATTTGTATCTTATATATATTTATTTTTTACAATCAACATCTTTTAAAATTTTTATTCTCAATCAACACCTTTTATGATTAACAAGCAAGTAACGTTTACGTTAGGATGCATATTAGAGGTTTAGCCTTTAACTTTGAGTGTTTTACAAATTCCAAAATTTGGGGAGATTGATTAGGAGCAAAAATTTTGAAAGGTGATGACAATAATCTCGAAAATAGGGAATTTTACCCTTTTTCTTACCAACACAAAGAAATTAAAAATTTTAAAATTTTAAAATTTCAAATTCAAATCTTATTTTATGTACATACAGTAATACAAATAACATCAAAATCCATTAAAAATTTGTTTAAAATGATATAGTAATTAAGTTTATAAATCTTCATAATTAAAAATGGAGGGTATGTATATATCATTCTCTTATAATTAACATGTTATTGCATACCCTACTTGTGTCCTTTTTTCTCTTAAATGCAATTTTCATCTTGAAGACCATGTGCAAAGTTCTCCAATTGTCTGAGGCCGTGCGACAATCCATGTGGACAAAAATGTATTAAGTAGTGTCTAAACTGAATTGCATTGCAAGCTGCTGATGATCCTTGTCGCTGAAGGTAATTCATTCATTTCTTTCCACAACTTCTAATCAAAAGTTGGTTGGACTTTCCCTATCTCATGTTGGTCTGAGAGCATTGAGGATCCTTGCAACTTTAATCACATTTCGAAAAAAAAAAAAAAAAGCTTTAATTGTCTAGCTTTTCAAGGGACACTAGGACCGTT